GCAGTGTCGGCATTGCCAGAGTCATTGTCCGTCCTGCATGGCAATCACAAAACACAGTCTGGGTCACAACACAGCTTGGTTGATTGTATGGGTTTATGCAGACATGCAGCCGTCATGATCATGCAACTCATGCAACCATGCTGTCTATCGCCCAAAACAAAAGCCAGTGCAGTCAATGCAATCGGCCATGAGGACATGTTGCTACAGCACTGGCAGCATACAGCATGCACCTGCTAGCCTGTGCAGAGCCTGTGCAGCTACAGCAGCTACATCAAGATAAACACTGAAACCAAAGCCCAGCATCTGGCTCAGCAGCATCGAACATAGTGGGCATGGCCGATGTGTAAATTGAGCATTCCTTGTCCTGGTCACAGGCACACAACGGGTCAACATGGACACTAAGGGCCCTAGGGTTTAGGGGCCGGCTTTGGGTGTGACCGTAACCAGTACTGCACTGGTGCAATTTAACTGCAGTAGCAACCAAAGGCGTGCCTGCTTCTATCGTGAACTTCCGGATCATTGAGCAGCATGGATGTCACAAAATCCGGCAGTGTAGGCAACAATCGCACCAGAACTGCACTCATCTGAACAATGTCTGCAAAAGTCTCCCCTGTGCGGATATTGTCACGAAGTTCCTCCGTGATTCCATCTGCACATCGACTGTGCCAGAACAATAGACAGAATGAGCATTGCTTGGGAATCTCTGTGGGAGGGGCCATGCTTCCAGAACTCTTCTTACTCCCTGCAGCTCCCACCTGCCCGCACACAATGCACTTCTTTTGTTTCTTGGTCTTGGCCTCTTGCCAGGTGACCTCCATGCTGGCGTCCTGAATCACTGACTGAATGCTTGAATGGCTCGGCTCACCCGCCTATGCTAACTTCACAAATGCCTGCACCTGGTGCACATGACTCACATCTTTCATGGAGTGGTTCCGATGCATCTAGAAAAAGGACGGCTGCTCTCACTCATGCGACTCATGCCCATGCTCATGCAAATATGCAACCAATTCCAGTCAAGGATCCCGTTTCGTCCATGCACAGTGCAAACCCATGAAACGAGCAAATCTGATGACTTCGGGCGGCAGCTCATGTCGTAGCATACCGCATGTTCCCTTCTGTTTGCGGGATGAGGCTGCACAAGCATTGACCAGGCAATCAAAAACATCTGGAGGGAATGATTGTGAAGGTACCTGCTTGCCAAAAAGAACAGGCGGCGAATAAACGACTCTGAAATTCTTGTCGATTCGGACACTGCTGCGGCCCGTCCTCGTCGCTGCATCCACCCATTTCACAAAAAAAAGTTGAAAGCCGTCACATTCTTCCCTGCTCTGCAATGAAAGAAGTAAAGATACCTCATCGTTATGACCCAAAGGTAGCTCGTTACGATCAGCACGATATGCCAAGGCTTCAGCTGTACGTCGAAATTCAGCATGCCACTTGGCCACGAATCTAGGCAATCTATCTTGTGCAGTGCCGCCGTTGGCTTCACCCTCGTCCGTGGAACCAAGCTCCCCAGAAGCAACAGACGATGCAGATGCAGCCGACGTGCAAACGTCCGAATCATCGAAAACAAAAGCTACTCTGCCTGGGGGATTCCCGCTTCGGCTGGCTTGGCTGGCTTGGCTATTGGCCTGTGGATTCCGAATCGACCCCGGGACAGCTTCGGACTCGGACTGTTCTGCCACGAATTTGCGAGCCAAGTCATCGATCACCTCATCATAAGAAGCACCTTGGTTGAATTGACGAATCAAGAGTAGGACTGCTTCCTCCTCCAATTCTTCATGTGTCAACACAACTGATTCACCGTGTGTTTCCCGCAAATGGTTGACCACCTGGTCAATGATTTTGTCGGACCTTGAGTGCTGTGCCAGTGGCTCGCAGTGTTGTTCACCGACAGAAGCAACCTGTGTTCTTTCGACAGTCCTCTCTTCATCCTTTGAACAATCGGCTAAGGCAGCATCAGATCGGGCAACTGCATCCTCAGATTCGTTGCACAACAACTCGTACTCATCATCAACCGGCCCATCATTCTCATCATCCTCTATCTGATCCACATTCCCACGGCCTGTGCCACTCCTTTCTTCAGTCACTTCACCAGCCCGTGATGGTGTGCTTCCTTGACCAGCTTGACCAACACTTCCCTTCGCCTTCCCGATTTGAACCATCATGGACGGCTCACCTTCAAGCAGCGATTGTACAGTCTGCGAATCAGACATGGGCCGCAAAGAAGGGGCATCGGCATCGGCATCTGCCAATGCACTCAGCGACTCCGGAGCCCTGATGATTTCAAGGCTCCCAAGTCGTCCCTCGACTGTGCTTTGTTTCATGCGAGCTGGTGCATGGAAAAGACAAAGTTGACTTTTATCTTCTTTGCAAGCCTTGTAGTGGGTGGAGAGCACATCAGTCAATGACACAAATCGTAGACTGCCTCCAGGAAGCATGAAACCACCATCCTGAAGACATGCGACTCAAATCAATCATTGCTGGGCAATGCATGTGTGCAGCATGCAAACACTCCGAACACATGAAGATCACACGAGTGACAGACGTGACATGCCACATGGTGCATGCTGCCACATGCTGCTGCTGCCACATGCTGCCACATGCTGCTACACTGCTACACGCTGCCACATGCTGCCACATGCACTTCCCACACTGATTCCTGCACTCATGAGACTCATGAGTGCAAGCGACAGCGACATGCCATGACATGGAACTGATCCTAAATTGAACTCACTCAATCAATCAATCAACTGAGATGAGGTCAGGGCTCATGACCAACTCGACTAGCAAGTATCTGGTACGAAGTGCGGCCACATGAAGGTAAGCGGACGATGTATCCAGCCGACGGTACGATGCCAACGGAAGCTCTGACCATGACTCATCCTCACGATTGTTCAAAAGCGATCCACGAGAAGTGCCTTGCAGAACTAAAACCGACAGCATCGTTTGCTGTGTCGCCAGGGAAAACTGCTTGCATGCGGTCTCACGAACCCGTTTCCACTTGAGTGCTTGAGCGGCAGCAAATTTTGAGGCATCCGTTGTCTTACTGTCTGGAATGGCTTTTGCCAAATCCACATTCTGAAGAGCTGGGTGGAGGTCTTTACATGCGATGCCCTTGGTGGCATGTGGGTCAAATCTTGTCTTGTCCTGCAGCACTAGTTTGTACCCATTACCACTCTGGTTGAGTTCCTGAAGCAAAGGACCAGCTGCTCGTCGAACGTCGCTCCACTTCTTCACAGCTCGGCCTTTGGACGTTTTGCCAGCCACCTGCGACATGGTTTTCTTGATAATGATTCTAGAGCTCATGCCCAACAAGTCCATGCGAGGGCACCGCTGACCCAGCATGCGAATCTGGCTGTTCACTGACTCGATCAGCTGTGTATCTCCGTGCCAAACGCTTGACAATGATTTCATCAGTGCAAACAGAAGACTTCCTTGTGGAGTCGCTTTCAGGTCGAAGTACGACTCTTTAGCAATGAACTCAAGCTCCGCACGGCAGATATGTTTGATCTTCAGGGTGTTCGCTTCCAAATCGGAATCTGCCGTGGAAAGAATCTCGGCTGCAATTCCTGATATAGCAAAGGAACGTCTGCACGTGGGTTTGTAAGGTTGTCAGACTGGTGTTTCAAACTCAACTCCAATCTGTCTAACACAACAGAGCAGCTTCTACGAGCACCACACCGCCGTCCAGGTGACTGGGAAATCAACCACATCAACTTGAGAGGAAACCTCGGTCGCAATAGTGAGCAACATAACATACACAAACAGTTCAGTTTCATTGTTCAAAACAATTTCATGATCATGCCTTGCAACGACTCTGCAACGACTGTCACACCAGAGTCACACCACACGCTGCACTACTACAGCACAACATGCAAGAGTGCTAGGCAAGGGCAAGACTCAAGATATGTTTGCATAACGAGCAGCTTTTGGCACTGAGATCGAACACGAAGCTCAAACCCACCGGCTCCCGCCAAAACCAACCTCAAGGCCAAGTCCTTGACTAAAGCCATGAGTTCATCTGAAAACTTCGCATCGGCTTCTTGCACTGCTGAGGCGAACCACTGGTCGAAAGAAGCAAGGAGCCCATCGAACTCTTTGCGAATCGCTTCTGCTTTGCTCGTGACCAATCGAAGCAAGAGCTGGCAATCCGTGTATTTCTGCATCCAATGAAAAAAATGCCTGAGAGGCGCCCTTGTTTGGTTTGCTACCCGAAGGAGAACCCAGTAAAGATCGGACTGGATGGCAGCTAATGCACCTTTCGCCCATTTGGACATACGAATTTGATAGGATTGTTTCTCATCGTCGTCGTCCTGTAAGCACGTCACGTCGTCGTGACCGCCGTCATCAGCGACCTTGCCACTCTTGTCGGCTTTCATGGCCGAAGAAAGCATCGACATGAGAACTGGCTGCAAGTTTTTTTTCCCTCGCTGCAAGTAGAAATGCTCAGCTTGGTCGATCGAACCCCATCGTCCGCCCACTACCCGAAGCGGATAGCGACGATACTGAACACCGGACATTGTGGCACCTTCGTGTATGGCTTCATACTTCTTGATGAACTCATCCACCCTTTCTCTCCAATAATGTGCTATCTTGGCATTCGATGCAAAGTACTTGCTGAAGCCGACACCACCCCGACACCAGGATGCATCAAACGTGGGTTCTCGCAGTAACGAATGGAGAAAAGCATCGATATGCACTAAGCTCTCTTTGACAATGAGATGATACTGATGCATCAAGCAATTCCCGTCCAGGTACAAGACGTGTGGAACATCAGCTAGTGCACACCGCATGAGCTTCCGTCGCAAGGATTGATCGGGGCCGGCATCCGTCACGTCTGCATAGATAAAGAAACTGTTTTCTGCAGAAACCAGACCCTCCATCGTGCAACGAACGATGTCATGCGGAAACGGTATTCCCAGTGATTTCAGATGCCTGACTGTTAAAGCCAATGCTTCACGTGCTGTGCATGGGCTCGGCACAACTTGCAGATCACTCCTTAGCAGACTGCCAGCCAATCAACTGCTAGGCAGCAAACAACTGACTCTCGGAATCACTTGTGTCACAACTTGCACACCACTTGGAACTTTCTGGCATGAAAGGATGGGCAGACAGCGGACAGTTCACTTCAATTTCAAGTCATCAAGTCAAGCCAATGTGCATTCATGAGGTCATGCGACTCATGGACTCATGCACTCACACACTCATGACTCATGACTCATGCCCAAGAACACAGTCTAACAAACAACAGTACAATAAAACGTATGAAGCAGATGATGATGCTAATGCCGCATAGGAGTCATGCATTGCCGCTGGGTTGATGCTTCATCGAAATTGCCTTGTTGCAGCATGTCGAAATCATGTACCCAGACAACTTTGCAAAAGGCCACTGATAATTTCTTTCTTCGCCATATATTCGAGTTTGTCGCATCTGACCTGAAACCACATGCCACCACTGACCACTGAGCCCGATCCCGGGTGCGAGCACCACTAGCACCACATTGCGAGGACAGACGTGCAAAGGCAGCAACTGCTTCATCGGCTTCGCTTCGGGCAAGAGGCTCTGGAATTCCGGCAGCTATAATACTACCTTCACTGCTGTCCTCTTCTGAAACATTGTCGCTCCCTGAAATACCACGACATGACACCACGAAGGCCAAAGCTTCTGCCATGAAAGAATGAAAAGTATGCAGCAAACCTGCAGCAGTCCGCACTTCTGAACGAAGTACCGTGCTCCCAGAGATATCGGACATGGCCGCCAGTCCAAAGTCACATGCTGCAACATTTGTCATGCACTTTCTCAGAGCAACTGCAAACCAAGACGAACGACTGTAACGAGATGCTTTGCCCTCTTTTTGTTTGCCAAGCTTTTGGATTGCAAACTGCTCCTCATGCGAGTCTTTCAGCTTCTTGTTTTCCTTCTCCAACTGTAAGTTCTTGCGTTTCAAGCTTCTGATAAGTGCAGCCATCTTTTCCTGTTTCTTATCTTTGAAGGTCAGCTGCCTTCTTTGTTGGGAACACACACTCAACAGCTCCTGTGTCTGTTGTTGAGTCGAAGCGGATGCATTGGAATCTGAAGCGGCATCCTCATCAATAATTACACCGTCGTCGCGATCACCACCGTCGTCGTCGTCGTCCCTTGCCTTTCTCTTCGAATTGCCGCTGCCAAGAGAAGATGCAGATCTAAAACTGAAGCTGCTGAAGCTTCTGGAGTACGTGTTGGCAGCGAAACCCAAGTCACTTCCGGACCTGCCTCTGCCTCTGCCTTCGCTTCCTCTTTTACTGCGGCCACGTCCTGAAGATCTTGGTTGTTCACCGTCTGATTCTGAACTGTCCACTTGCATTACCAACGATCCATCTTGTTGCGGTTGTGACGACATGGAAGGTTCATTGGCCGCTGGAATTATATCGCCGACCCCACCACCGGAGTCTTGGGACCAAATAACAACTGCATTGTGAGCATTGCCGGTTTCAGCTTCAATCTTATCATCGTCTGGGTCATCGATTTCCATCTGCATCGGTGGCATTGTGAAGCTCAAGCTCAAGCGAGTGCAAGCCGACTGAAATTCAGAGATGTACATACGACCCATCATTGCATCAGTGCGGTTCGCCGTCGTGCATGCCTCACAGTCATTCAAAACTACTCAAAACCTTGTGCTTGTGCAACTGCAACTGTCAGGCTGTCGGATACAACATGCTCACATGACATGCCAACTCTTCGGAGATCTGCACATGCAAGATTACATGACAAAACAAGGCTGCTGCAGCCATGGTCACACATGCAATTGCAAGCAAGAAACATTCGAGCAAGCCACATTCACACGGCGACGGGCTTCCCGGTTCGTAACACCTTTACAACGAACCAGCACATCGATCAAAGCATTCTGAGCAGCGGCCACTGGTAACAGAATCTTTCCATCTATCACCAGCGATGCAGCATTCACAAAGGTCGTCAGCGAATTCGAAGCGAGCGACATTGCAAATCTTAGGAAATAAAACTGAGAGATACAAGACAAAACCATGCCGTGTTCGTCACGTCATCGACCTGTCGATCGGAAGCCCCAAAAATGAATGGCATGTAACAGCTGCTTCTGTTGCAATGGCACTGAGAGCCTCATGGCATCCGGCTGCTGGGCTTGGTTGCATCAGCACAATCTTGCGGCTTTAGCAGATCATGTTTCATGCCCCCCCAGAATACATATGTTCACTTGCCAAGCACACAACATATGGTAGTTCGGATCCGCCATTAACATGAATTCAAGCTTCGCCCAAGCAATTCAACATGGAATGACACACCGGAAATCTTAAGTATACTTGCCGTTCGAGATCAATACACTCAAAACCACATGCCCGGAAATTATAAGCCACAAAATCCGGAACCCAATGTTTTATATGCATGCCTCCCGGGAAGTGCAAATGGTATACCCCGGCCCCCGTGGACGGATACAAAGCCGACCCCGTCCACACCCAAGGTGTAAAGTCATCTAGGCCATGACTTTGCAGTGAGTGATGTTTCAAAAGAAACAGCATTCATCGAAAACTTGCCACCACGCCGTCTGCCCAGCAATGCTAGGGTATGCCCATAGCTCTCATCCCTGTAGGTCCAGGTCTTGCTAGGGTTCACCTCGCCCCTGGCCAATTCGAACAGCTGATGGGCTTTAGGTTTAACCCTGAAGAGCTTGTCCACCTCGAAGTAAGTCTCGAGGCTGCCCCAGAGTAAAAGAAACTTCTGAGAAGAAACTCTGAAGACTTCCTTGTCCCAAGCTGCAGTGCTGAGACAGGCATATATGGACTGCAAAGCTTCTGTGCCATGCAACATCGCCTGTTCAGCAGGCTTTGCTGGCGACAAATACTTTGTAGCCAATTCCATGGCAGCACCGACGAGTGCTCGAGCTTCCCCTGCTTTGGCTCTCAACTTGGGGGATTTGATCTTGCCTCGATCCTCTTCACGAAGCATGGTGGGAAGGAGCTTCGGCAATCGATCTTGGACCCCAGCTCTGTCGTAGTATGCCTTGATGTCTTGGTACAGCTTGGCACATCGGATGAGTTTGCTCAGGCCTCGGATCTTCTCATTCTGCAAGTAAAACAGCAAAGACCCAAGCCAGTCGGATGTTACTCCGAGGTCGCAAGCGTGTAAAAAGTCCATCTTGCAGCAAGCCGTATTGAATCCTGGGCAAGAAAATAATCTCGACACCAATTTATTCTGCTGCCTCTGGCGCATGAAGAAGTCCATGCTGGAAATGAGAGGGTACCTGAGGCAAAGGCAACTGCCAGGAATAAGCGATCGACTTCAACTGTCTAGCATGCCTCACACGTCGAAATTAAAAGACAATTCTTTCCTGGTGGCGATATTTCGAGCCGGTTAATTGACTCCTTAAGTCGACTGTATCATGCTAGGGTATGCCAAAAGATATAAAACTTTGAATCTATCAATCCCAGATGCTTGGCGAAAGTCTGAGTATCAATTTTTTTCAAATCAGCTCGGGGGCACATACACCGCCAACAGATAAACCCCTTCGAACTCCAAGAAGGGAAGCTCAAAACGTCCTTGTAACAGCTCCAATCAGCTCGAAATTCAGCCAGAGCAGCTCTCAGTGGAAGCTTTTTGCCTGCCAAACGTTGTCGATAACTATCGGTTCGATTGAAGGGCATGCCATCGTGTCGGCAGCTTGGCATGCTCCCCGTCGCCAGCTGCTTAAAGGACCACTGGATGATTTCGAATACATCCTCAAAAGTTTGCGATTTGGATACAAATTCTTTTGGAAAGGCCGCAACAGGCAGGCGAAGATTCTGCTGGCCAAAGATGTTCAAAGAAATCGTCTCCAAAGTCATGGATCGGTCGCTGTTGAAAGGCACACCATCGCACCACATCCCCATGAGGAGAGTGGATTCAGAATCCAAGCCCAACTCACCCTCCAAAAAATGCAAGTGGTTCTCCAGGTCAGGCCTGTCAGGCAAGATCTCGGCTTGCTGCTGAAGCAAGGCCTCTGGCGTGTTCACTTTGAGCAGTGAGTGCAAGGATTCGTGAGGCAGCAAAATTGCCAAGGAATACTCTTCAGACGTATTCTTCGCCTGATTCCAGCCACGAACCTTTGCATGATATAACGAAGGCCATTTCGTGTTTCTGAAACATTTTCGCAAAAGATCCCGATGGGTGTTGCGAGTCTCTGGGCGGACCTGTAAATCTTCCACATGCAGTGCCCCGGCTTGCTGTGCTGACCGCAGTACTCGAGCGCTTCGCTCAGAACTGAGCTCATTGTTTAAAAATATGTCGACCATCTCGGACCTGAATCGTTTTGCAGGAGCAACGGCCTGGACATCTTCTGTTGTCAAAGATCTTTTGTTGAACATTGCCGGCAAGTCTCGAAGCGAAGCGAACCCTACAGAACAATGTCTGGACAATCAAAAATTAATCCAAAGTACATGCGGTTTTCACATATATACAGTATATATATATATATTTATAAACATACACTGTCTTAGTATATGAATTTACTTAGATCGAAGTAGCTATGCGCACGTGCCTGTGCGACATGGGGCCGAGCCTGCAGAATGTAAGAAGCAACAGAAAGTCTGCAAGCACTCACGGGTCTCATAGCTGCAAACATGCGAGAAGAAGCATTGCATGCACGCATTTTCTACCACTGCGAGGTCAGTGCAGCCTCTCCTGCCAAGGAGCTCCGTCTCAAGGCGAACTTGGAACAACACCTGTACTCCTACCGGATAATATCATCGAGGGTGATGAATCTCAAGCCTAGGGCCGATCACTCCATCAGGCCATTGACTTTCTTGAGCAAGGCCTTGCTGCCTTTGTCGTGGTTGGCAGCCTGGTAGACGACAGTGTGAAAGGTGGCCACAAGCTCGGTGCAATCGGAAGTAACATCCGCCGGCACACTCTCGGCCTCGTGCTGGCGAAGAACACCCAAGAAGTCCTCGAGAGCTGCGATCGCCTGATCGACGTCGTCCTTGCGATTATCCCATGTTTTGTCCCCGCTGTACTTCGTGGAAATCTTGGTCTTCAAAGACTTCAGCTCCTCGTTGTTTTGGGTCAGCTTTCTCTTCTCGGCCACGATCTTCTTCAAAAGATCTTTTGCCAGGGTATGGCTCTGGCTCGGCTGCAAAGCCGGATCCTTGGAACTGGAGCTTGCCGCACTCTTGCCCAACATGATGTCGAGGGACCTCTTGTCCTTCAACTGCAAGTTCTTCATGCCGGAACAATGGCTTCCCAGGGACTCCTCCGTCTTAGTGGCCTGGCGGGCCACCTGGCCTTTCGAGTGCACGTAGAAGTACTTGCTGAGCACCTCGAACTTGGGGTGAATTTTCGTCGATCTCTCATAGCCGTACCGCTTTTCGGCTTCGGACATCAGCTCTTCCAGCAGATCCTTCTTCATATCTTCCTCCAAGCCGCTTTCATCGATGCCCTCCAGCTTGAAAATTGCCGTCCTGCATGCAGTCTGCATGCATGCTCAATATAATCATCCGTTCCATAGTCGAAGCCTAGAGAATATAATCATAGAATAGACAATCAAACAAGAGCAAAAATCTGACAAAACTGCCACCGAAAATCCGAGTGTACCAGTTCTTGACGGTATCTTCGTGCTCACTGTTGGTATTCACGGTCGTCTTGACCAAATCGTGTACCCAATTACACTGACGGACGCCGAACTGTGAGACCTTGCTCAATATCTCTCTCTTGGTGGCAATGTCCCCCGCCTCGTACTCCTGCCAAGGAGCACCAGTGGAACGAAAACAAGAATCAAAACAACTGGCACGGAAGTACCGGAAGTGCAAGATGCAGGCGGTCCTCGAGTACTTTTTGGGCGTTTTGTTTCTCTTCGTCCGTAGTTTTTTTAGCTTTGAGCTGATAGCGAAGCCCGGTCAAAGCAGCTGAAATTGTGCCCCGAGCATACCCCAAGCCGCTCGGTGCCGTTGAATCATCGTCTTCCTCGCCCGCATCACCGAGCTCCACCTTGGCAGCCTTGGCTTTCCTCTTGGGGGTCGCCTGCTTTTCGTGCTTAACCTTAGCCTTGGCGGCCTTGCTCTTTGCAGCCATGGCCTTGGCCATCTTGCTGTTCTGCGGGCCTTTGCCACCCTTGCTCTGGGCCGGCGCCATCAATCCGGGGAGGCTACAGGAATGCTACCCGATCATATATCGTGAGCTGAGCTCGATCTAAACATTGATTCAGCAGAAAATTCATGCGAAGAGTCGAGAACGGTGGCACACGAGTGCCATGACATGTTCACTGTTGCACACAGCATGCATAAGTTATTTCATTTTGCAAGACACCATCGCCTTCGCCGGCAGGTCAGAGCTCGTCCAAATCATAATCGTTTTGCCACCAATGCATGTCAGCACCTAATCTCCTAGCCAAGGAGATGGCACTTCCAGAGACCGAGCGACACTTCAGGAAGTATCTATCATTCCAATAGCCAACATAACGAGTATACCATTCATACAAGAACTTTTGGAAGCACTGCTCGGAGCAATCAAATGTATCGTACAGAAACCACAGAGCGAATGCACTCAACCGGGTCGTGAAAAGCCTTCTCATCAGCTGCAAAGCGAACAACGGCAAATGAAGCACAGGTCGCTGCCTCATGCCTCCCATGTGCCAGCTCAGTTGCTGTTTCATCCACAATCGAGCCTTTGCATGGCAGGGCTGGCCTGCAGAAAGTCAAAACTCTGCTGCCGAACTTGAATCCAAGAACCTGGCTGGGTACAGCTGCCGATGCCAATGCGGTGGAGAATGGTCGCTCTGCGGATCCGCACCTGGGTCTAGGAAGACCCCGAAAATTTTTAACAAGCTTTTTTTTAACAAATTTTTAACTGTTAAAAAAAATGGCTTATGAAGGGATTCCTTTCATAAGCCATTTTTTTAACAGTTAAAAATTTGTTAAAAAAAAAGCTTGTTAAAAATTTTTCGTCGCTTACCAGAATCTATCTTCACCCATCACTCCCCACAACAGACCTCAGAGAGAATTGGACACGAATCACAAATGGAACTGGCCTGGGTTCTGATCCTCCATGCTGCGAAGACCTGGCAATCGCTAGACGACATGCATGTGTACACGTGAACAAACTCCTACCCAGGAGCAGGACCACTCCTACCAAGGAGCAACAAACTGCAAACGTGATGCACACCAGCTGCCGACTCCTACCAACAAGCTGCAACCTACGAGCACTGCCGACCCAAACACAGATGCACACTAGCTGGCGACTCCTGCCAAGGAGTCCTTGTTTTTATCGTCTCGTTGCGGGAAGATCAATCCGGCGGAAGACACCTATGCTACAGCAGACACTGCCTCAACGGAGTTCGTCAGAATCCTCAGGGTCTTCCTGGGTTTCATCTGCAGCCGCCTGCTCTGCCTGTGTTTCCGCTTCGTTATTCTTCAGGTGCTTGTAGGCTTCATCAAGACCAATCACGTGTTCAATGGTCTCGGCGCCTTCCACCATGGATCGGAAGCTCTGCCAGGTATGCCCCGAGCCGGGCTCCTCCTGAGCCTCGTCAGGACCCGCATCCACTGCAGCTGGCTCCTCAGCTGCACCACCGCCCTCCTGACGGGCTCCTTGGCCTGCAATCTGCTTCGCCTCGGCCTGCAAACAGAATGAACATGTGCTTCATACTGATGTGACTTAAGTTATAACAGATGCACTGAGCATCTGCAGAAGCTGGCTCCTACCTAGGAGCATATACCCTGATACCACAGAATTTAACCCAGGCCTCACGGATCAAACGAAGCTTCTTGGAGGATTCCGACGGAGCTCCTCCGACCCATCTGCCCTCCTGCTTCAGAGTCTCAATCTGGCTGGCGAGCCACAATTTTCTTTTCTTGCCTTTGCTCTTCTTGAAAGACTGCTGTTGCTCCTGAGAGGCATAGTCCCGCTGCCATCGATCCGAGCCCCAATAAGCCTGGGATTTTTTATCCATAAACTCTTCCCATTCATTGTACTTCTGCATGGCATCCTGGCTTCTGCCACTCTGCGGGCCGGGCCTCTCCCAGCTGGAGCTCGACTGCTGCTTGCGACCGCCGCTCTTCCAACCACGGCCATAGCTGCTTGAATAATCGCCCCAAGTATCCTCACGCGTACTTTGCTCATTCGCAGCCGTGCTTTGCTCAGCAGTGTCACCGGCCCCGGTGCTTGGCTCCTCCACAGGAGCTTGCCCATACTGCATATACGGGTCATCCTGCACCGGCGGCTCTGCTTTCACAGGCACAAAGCGCCGTTTTTCCACTGCTTTTGCAAACCTCTCCGAAGCAGCACCCTTGGCCTGAAGCCTCTGCCACTTTTGGCCCTCCTCAAGGGCCACTTGGGCTGCCGATGCAGCCTTCTCCGAGCCATAGCTGCCATAGCTATGCTCCTTCTCCATCTTTATGGCTGACCTCAGAGCATGCCCCGCCTTGTGCTCCTGGGAAGCGCTTTCCCATGCATGGCGGGCCTCCTCATACTCGGAATAAGAGCTCACTTGGTTTTTCTTCTCCAAGCCGAAGATGAAGGCATTCGCCTCTTCGTCGCTGGACACGACCTCCTCGATCCGTGGCCCGTCGCCTTCCCGAGCAGCCACAACCTGAACCTCCGGGTCCTCCGGCTCCTCCGAGTCCGCTTCCTCCTCCTCGAGGACGTCTTGGAGTTGTTGCTCAAGCTTGTTCTGATATACGCCGTCAGCGTAGCCGCTGTTCTTCCACGAGGTCCAGCTCCAGGATCGTTGCATGCTCGAAGAGCCCAGGGACCCCGAGGATGCAGTCTGGGCATTTGAACTCTGAATGGGGCCACGTGCCCAAAGATTGGTATTGGGCTCCTGACGCATGTAATACCACTGGCATAAGATGTTGATACACACCCGCTTGCGGAGATAACTGCGGGTGCCGCACTTCGGACACATACGAATGTCCTGCAGGGCTTCAGGTGCATCGCGCTGCGACTTGCTCAACATAGCTGCAGAGCTACCAAGCTCAAAAAAGATATCGAGCACTCGCAGCTGCACAATACTCGAATCCTGACTGCTACCTCCTACCAAGGAGTTTTCAGCACATCTGTATGCCCTGCAAACAGCGATCGCCAGCAGATCTACATCTCACCTGCATCTCAAAACATGCACATGCTCCTACCAAGGAGCTAGCATGCACTGCAATTAAGACTGCTGCACAGAAATGCAAACATATGCCGTCGCACCTCGATCTCGAATTTGAAGATCGACCGGGATCGCAGCTGCTGCCGCCAGACCTGCAAGCACAGCCAAGATTCTTTAACCTAGCTCCTCCCAAGGAGCTCATGCTTGGACTTCTGAACTGCTAGTGCATGCAGTCAGCAAAACAACACCTAACAGACCTAACACCTGCACTGGCAGAGC